CAAGACCAAAAGCTTTATTCTTGTTTTCTGAAAAGAAAAAAAGAAAAAAGGTACTAATAGCCTTTCTTTTCCGTGATTTACAATTAAGAAACCCTCAAAAGGTTGCCTTACAATTTTTCTGACCCGCTTGCTGCTCCGGAATTTGTCTGGCAAGTCGGATAATGACCTGACCCGAATGCTAAAAAATAAATTTATAAAATCAGACCAAACCACTCCAATTTAATTGGGTCAGATGGGCGGGTCGGATTAACCCGGATTTTTGCCCACCCCTACCTACAATATCTGTGTGGCTCTCGTTGAGTGTGGTGCTTCTGTCTACGGTCAGAGATAATCTTTTCTTCTGGGCAGGGACAGACTCAGACATTTAATTATTATTATTATTATGTTACTATTTTCGGATTTGACAATATTCTCTTCAAGAACACAAGACGTATCAATTTTGACAACCCCTCCCTTCACTCAGCAAAAAAAAAAAAAAAAAAAAAAAAACAGAAGAAGAAGAAAAGAAGGGTTGATTTAAAAGAAAACCAATGAAAATATGAAAAATGATAGTGTATTAGGATCTAGGAGGCTTGGCTCAAAGTCAAAGTGGCTTGCTTTCCTCTTGTTGAGCATAAATGTCATATGAATGAGCCGCCAAAAAATGTTGTTGTTTGTGACTTTTGTCTTCATCTCACTAAATACGTCGTGTGCTATTACAAATCCACCCCTCAATTATCGTATAAACTAATATTATTATGGTGATCACTGAGGCCCGTGACGGCGAAAAAACTTGCCTGCACCGGAGATAGGACAACAGTCCTATCCCCCTCCAATCGCAGCACGCCATGTGTCAAACTTTGTCAGAAAATGAACACATGGCAGCTGTGATTGGAGGGGGATAGCTATCCCGGTGCATGCAAGTGTTTCTCCCGTGACGGACTCAATTTTATATAGAATCCTTTTCACGACTAAAAACAGATGCAGCATGGAGCAGCTATTTCCATTGGGTACGGCATTTGAAAAACAAAAATTAAAATTAAGAACTTCAAGTCCTATATAAAACACACACACTAGTGTCTGTCTGTCTGTCTCTCCATCTATCTCTCTCACACACACTCTTTCTCTTTGAAGCTAAGCAGAAAATGGGGACAGAAGACCACACACCACCATCTCTGAGCTCACCATTGATTCAAGTCTCCGACGAAGATGATGCAGTTAAGGAGATTGAAAAAGATGAGGGAAACTATGGAAGGGGTTTTAAGAGAAAGGAAATTGTTGAAGAAGTAAAGAAGCAGTTATGGCTAGCAGGGCCGCTTATATGTGTGAGTCTGTTACAGTACTCTGTACAGATAATAGCTGTTATGTTTGTAGGTCATCTTGGTGAATTGTCTCTCTCTGGTGCTTCCATGGCCCTTTCCTTCTCATCCGTCACCGGTTTCAGCTTGCTGGTAAGTTTGCTCTCCTCTCTCATTAATAAGGACTATTGAATTAATTTAGACTTATGTAATACAATACATATTGAATTAATTTAGACTTATGTAACACAATACATATTGGTTTTTGAGTTCCAAACTTTGGTTGGATTCCTTATATTATATTATGTTGCACCCCTTTTACCTTTATGGCACATCTACTTGCTTAGTTAGTAGATGCTATCACACATGCAATTATACTCAATTAGATGGAATTGTTTGATCTTAAAGGGATCTTCTATAATTTCGTACATGAGGGGTTATTTCTTGGTTTCGTCCTGTCATTAATAACTTGATTATTTTTAGATAATAGTAGATGGAATTTTCTAAATTCAGTCACATTCTGTGGACTTTGCTTGCCTTATCTTTCCAAATTTTCCAAGAAATCTCAAAATTATCCCGTTCCATTTGTGTTAAACATACAGCTTTTGGATGCCTCTAAGAATCTCTGAAATGAAGAATCACTTTATGTTAATTACAGAAATTGAATCATTTGTGGGAAACATAACTAAATTTGTTGGCATAACATGTATTTAATACCCCAAACCATTATATTAGCAGAGAAGGCTTGTTGATATTTTGAACTTTGCTTCTTGTGTGGAAATATTGTACACTAAAGATTAGTCCATCATGAAACACCTTTTGGATCTTGACGGCTAAGCTCTTTTTGAATCTCCATGGCTAAATATTGGACATATTTACTTGGTCTTTTTATGTACATTTTAGTTAACACCTTTGGATATATTTTTCCATTGATTTGTCTCTACAAGTTCTGGTCTGACTTTGTCCTCTTAATGCTTGCTTCAATTTATTTTGCCAAAACGAAGATGACGAGTCTGATTTCATTTAATAACATAACTCTTCCAAGTTGCAACCTGGCGAACTGTTTCTAAGTTTCTAATAATCTTTCTGATTTTGATTTTTTCAACTTAAACAGATGGGAATGTCAAGTGCACTGGATACATTATCTGGACAGTGCTATGGTGCAAAGCAGTATCATATGATGGGCATACACATGCAGAGAGCCATGCTTGTTCTTTCAATTGTTTGCATACCCCTTGCTATCATTTCCGCAAACACAAGAATCATTCTAACAGCTCTAGGCCAAGATGCTGCCATAGCAGCAGAAGCCGGACAATTTGCCCGTTTCCTGATCCCTTCCCTTTTTGCATATGGACTTCTTCAGTGCCTTGTGAGGTTCTTACAAACTCAAAACATTGTGTTCCCAATGATGCTGAGCTCTGCCATTACAGCTTTGCTGCACATCCCTCTCTGTTGGATTCTTGTGTTTACATCTGGACTTGGAAGCAGGGGAGCTGCCTTGGCAGTTTCAATCTCTTTTTGGATCAATGTGCTATTATTGGTACTTTATGTCAGGTTCTCTTCATTATGTTCCAAAACTTGGACAGGCTTCTCGAAGGAGGCATTTCACAACATTATTCCATTTGTTAGACTCGCTATTCCTTCAGCTGTGATGGTCTGGTAATTTCGATTTCCTAATTAATATTTCACAAGGTTGTCTACTTCTAAGATCAGTTATTTTAGTGTCTAAAAGATCCTAATGCAGTTGACCATCTATTTAAACAGCTTGGAAATGTGGTCCTTTGAACTGATTGTTCTTCTATCTGGTCTTCTTCCAAACCCAAAGTTGGAAACCTCAGTGCTTTCTATCAGGTTGGTTCCTAACTGTGATAATTTACTCTTGGATTTCTTCGACAGTTTCTGCAGTCTGGTTTAGGAAATATTCTGCACTTTTAATGTTGTTACTTATCAAATTTGTGTATTGCCAGCCTAAATACAGCTGCAATGGTTTGGATGATCCCATTTGGACTCAGTTCTGCTGTCAGGTGAGCTACGCTGTGGTACATTTACAATTGTAAAGTCAATCTTCCTTATGTTTCCTATCTTATGATGTCTCGGTTTCTATGATTTCCAGCACTCGCGTCTCAAATGAATTAGGAGCAGGGCATCCAGAAACCGCACGTTTAGCAGTGTGTGTTGTCTTAGTCATGGCCATTACTGTGGGTTTATTGGTGGGATCAGTCTTGATACTGATACGCAACTTCTGGGGCTATGCTTATAGCAATGAAACACAAGTGGTCAAATATCTAGCAACCATGATGCCAATACTTGCAACATCCAACTTCTTAGACGGTCTCCAATGTGTTCTTTCAGGTCTTCCTACTATTTTCGCACCCTTATAATCAAAATCAACATAAACACAATACACAATTCCATCAGTATTTTTATAGGTAGCTAGGGATTAATGCAGTTAGTATATTTATGTGTTTTACATTTTCAGGCACTGCTAGAGGATGTGGCTGGCAGAAGATTGGAGCATATATTAATCTTGGGTCGTATTATTTAGTTGGAATTCCACTGGCTGTTGTATTTTCTTTTGTCATTCACATCGGTGGAAAGGTAAAAAAAGAAAAAAGAGAGGAAAAAAAAGAGAATTTTCCTTTTTCTTCTTTTCTTGCCCTTTTATAACTTTATCTGTTAAAATGTTTTGAACAGGGGCTCTGGCTCGGGATCATATGTGCATTGATTGTGCAAGTATTATCACTTCTTACTGTAACCATACGCACCAACTGGGAGAAAGAGGTTCCAAAATTCTCCCTCTATCTCAACACAGACACAAATTCTTTCTCCTCTTTATATCTAATCTTATGGTTGTTTTGGTTAGGCAAAAAAAGCTACAGAAAGAGTATATGACACAACTGTTCCCGTGGACATAGTGTCATGAAGCTGGATTATATATTATCTACAACAGGCTTCACTTACACTTGACGATAACGAGTCACGAACACACCACAGAAAATCTTGACAGTGTCAGCAGCAGCACTGGTGCAACTACATATGCTCGGCACAATACTCAAGCTATATCTTGAGCATTGCCATTGGTAGTGGATGCTGAGGCTTGAAGATGCAACTCAATAATAAGTTAGCCTATCCCAGTTTTGGTGTTATTTGGGAAATTCTTCTGAAAATCTAGCAGATATGTCTTTTCCCTTTGGATGCTATTACAATTTTACAAATGCTTGAAACATGTAAACTTTAACTAGGAAGAATAAATCCTATGGATGGAGATGGAGATGGATCATTCAATGAAAAATGTATCATCCTTCTTCTTTTCCACCCTTTTTATGTGGTTTATTATTTATCAAGAAATTCAACTTATATTTAGGAGAGGACTAAAGTTGGCATAAAGATAGAGAGCTCAAATAGTTCTAAATATGTGTTTTATTCTTTGCTTGCGGTTCTACCAAAGAATGATTGTATTAGCAAAGAAAAGGAATGAACATTAATAGCACTATTCTCACTCAATGTTTTGCATTTTGGTATTATTTAATAAGTTTCTATACTTAGAGTACGACACCTTCGGATCAGATGCAAAGCCAAGTTCTATATGGAGCCAAGTTCTATAAAATTCCATATTCTGCAGGAGATTTGTATATAACAGCAGACTCTAGTTCTATTGCATTCATCAAAGTAGCCATTTGTCGATACATACAAAAACTCCCTTTCCTCTCCTTTGGATTCAGCATGGGGGAATTTGTCTATACCATTGCAGAAAATGTCATGAATGGGCTAGCTTCCTATGCTTACCAAGAAATCTGCTTGGCATGGGGTGTCACAGATGAACTAAACAAGCTTAAGGACACCTTCTCAAGCATCAAGGTAGTGATCCTGGATGCAGAGGAAAAGCAAAGGAAGGAACTCCATCTAAGCCAATGGCTAGGAAAGCTCAAAGATGTTTGCTACGATGTGGATGACATGCTTAATGACTTTGCATTCAAAGAACTGCAGATGCAAATGCTGATCAGACATGGGCGTGGGAGCATCAAAGGACAGGTACGCATATTCTTTTCGTGTTGGAATCCGGTCGTGTTTAACTTCAAAATGGGTCATAGAATCAAAGAGATTAGAGAAAGGTTAGATGTAATAGCAATTGAAAAATCTCAGTTTCCTCTAGTGGAGAGAGTTGGAGATTGGCAGAGTCAGAGTGTGCACATAAATAGGGAGACTCACTCTTTTGTGCAAGCCTATGATGTTATCGGGAGAGAGGACGATAAGAAACAGATTATCATCCATCTCTTGAACTTGACCTTGAAGGAAAAGAGTCGTGATGTCCAGGAAAATGTTTCTGTTATATCGATTACTGGATTAGGAGGTATAGGAAAGACCACCCTAGCTAAATTGGTGTATAATGATCATAGGGTAGTAAAACACTTCGACATGAGAATGTGGGTATGTGTTTCAGACCACTTTGATAATAAAAGACTTATGCATGAAATCGTTGCTTCTGCAACTAACCAAAACTGTGGCGATCAAGAAAGTTTTGATCGTGTGCAGAAAAAGTTGCAAAGTGCTTTGAAAGATAAACAATTTTTATTAGTGTTGGATGATGTTTGGGATAAGGGTCAAATTGGAGTAACAACTGCAAAATGGTTTGATTTAAAAGCTTTGTTAAATGTTGGAGCAAACGGGAGTAAAGTCATTGTCACAACACGTAGCGAATCCGTTGCTTCGATTATGGACTCTGTTCGTGTGCATCAACTGAGAGGTCTTCCCCACAAGAGTTGCATGTCCTTGTTCATAAAAAGGGCATTTGGTCGAAAAGGAGAGGAGCAGCGCTATCCATACTTGATGGAAATTGCACATGGTATTGCAGAGAAGTGCGAAGGGGTTCCTCTAGCTGTAACCACCCTGGGGAGCCTGCTGTATTCGAAAAGGGAGAAAGATTTTTGGTCAGAAGTGAGAGACAATGACATATGGAGATTGCCGCAGGGAAACGATGACATTCTACCTGCACTGAAATTAAGCTACGATGCATTGCCATCTTACTTGAAACCTTGTTTTGCCATTTGTTCACTTTTTCCCAAGGATCATATTTTCCGAAGCACAGATTTGGTGTGGTTGTGGATGGCACAAGGCTTCATTCAATCCTCTAAAGGAAACCAGGAGTTGGAAGAGATCGGCCTAGACTACATAAGGCAATTATGCTCTAGATCTTTATTTCAAATTGACGAAGATTCAATTGATTTTATAGTATTCAAAATGCATGCTCTTGTGCATGATTTAGCCATTTTTGTGTCAGAAGAAGAGTGCTCATCTGTAAACTTCCGTCCTACCTCTGATACCTGTAAAAGGGTTCGACGCGTGTCGATGTCGGAGGATGACTTGCCCATGAAAGGGGAACGAGTTCCCGAATTCTTACGTCAGTTGAAGAAAGTGTGGACCATTCTGTTTCCAGTTCCAGGGCATGTAGGCATCTCCAGCAAATCTGTGTTGAAAGCATGCATCTTGAGATTCAAGTACCTACGGGTGCTGGATTTGAGTGGCTCAACTTTTGAGGTGTTACCGAGTTCCATTGGTAAATTGAGTCGCTTGAGATATCTCAACTTGTCGAAAAATTCATTCATAAAGAAGCTTCCAGGTTCCATTTGCAACCTGCTGAATTTGCAGACCTTGCTGCTTTCAAACTGTGAGCAGCTCAGGGAGTTGCCCAGAGACATCGGGAACCTGATCAACGTCAGAACATTGGTGTTAACCACAAATCAGATGGTTTTGGCAGGAGGCATTGAACGCCTCACCTCTCTTCGATTTTTACAGGTCCACAATTGTAGCTATCTTGAATCTTTGGGCCAAGGCATCCAATGCCTCACTAATCTCCGAATGCTGGTTATTAGCAATTGTAAGAATCTAAAGTCGTTGCCACCCGACATGAAATGCTTAACCGCATTAAAGACTTTGGGTATCTCCGATTGCGAGAAGCTCGACTTGATGACGTCGGGAGCAGGCATTCGAGGTCTTCGATCAGTCTCCATCTCCTCGCACTTGGAGGCTCTTCCCCATTGGCTTCAAGACTCTGCAAACACTCTGCAGAGCTTGCGTGTTAAGAACTGTGAGGATCTCAAGGAACTTCCAGAGTGGCTGCAAAACTTCAGGTTGCTCCAGCAACTGGTGATTGATTATTGCCCTCAATTGTTGGCTTTACCACAAGGGATGTATCACCTGGGTGCATTGAAATTATTGAAGATCGACGGGTGTTCTAAACTGAGCGAAAGATGCAACAGCAAGGAAGGTGGAGACTGGCCCAAGATTGCTCATGTCAGTAAGATTACACTTGACGGAGAAATTATCGCCTCAAACGATGATTAGGTAACAATCATTCATTGATCTCCTTTTCATTTTCATGTGTTTTTTATTTCTATCTTTTATTTCTCTTTTCTCGGTGGCTGTATTGTTAAGTAGGCAAGAAAATACTGCTGCCGTTTTAAATGTTCATGTAACTTTTACAGATGACAAACCAATTTATAAAGTGCCATTGTCCATTTTTGTCTCGATGCAAATTTTTTTTTTGAAAGTTTTCTTGACCACAAATATCACATATTTAATTAGCAATCAAATGGAGCAATTTGGATTAGAGAGTAATCTCCACGTAAACACAGGTCACAAGGAACAATAAAAAAGACAACCTGGTTCCAGTACATTTGAGTCTCTCGTCTTAAAAAATACAAGGTATATAGTTCAATAACAGAATAAATGTTGGTGACCTAATTAGTAATTACCCTGAACAATTAGACTAATCTCAGCCATCAGCTAAACAATAAAATCATACAAAAGAAAAAGTGAAAGAACGAAAGAAGAAGCAAAAAAAAAAAAAAAAGAGACAACACGAAGAGCCCTCAAAATTTAGCCTTACATGGGCCATGGTACAAATTCTCTGTTTCATGTTTATCACAATTATTTTTAAGCCCCCAAACATAATTCTGCATCGTGTTTATCTTCGACTTCACTGAATACTGTCTCCTCCCTATAATCTCGACAGAATAGCCAATGAAAACCTTGCAAGCAGATATATAAAATAAAATGGAGACAACTGCATATCACAACATACTTCAAACATTAGCCACATACCTCATTAGTGTGGGAACATCAATCTTACACCTCTATAACAAATAATATATATGATTCTGTATATCAAATGTGCTTATTCAGGCTGTTGGAATTCAAGATCTAGTTTCCTCTTTAGATGCGTTCTGTCAGCACTGCAGAAGAGAAAGAAAACAAAGAATTTTATATCTCCAACGTATAGATGCGAAGTTTAGATTTCACTTCAAGCTAAAGGGTCAACTGTCATGCAGATTTGTGCGAGTATAGAGGTTTAAAAGAATTAGAAAAGACCATGTAAAAAGTGATTTACCTAGTAATTGTAGGTCTATTTGGAGGTTTTGCTCCAAAGATAGAAAAATCTACTGACATTGGCACCGGTTCATTCCTGCTTGTATTTTCACCAGCAGCTTGTCTTGTTTCACCAACACGATCATCAATCCTATCACCTTGGTATGCATTTCCTTCAAAACCCTCACGATCTGGCATCACTCTCCTTGACTTTCGTGGAGGTGACAACACAGTTGGACCATCATTTGGATTAAAATCTGAAACCTTAGAATTAACAGATTCTCGCTTTGGAGCAGGTCTAGGAAGTTTATCTGGATAAGTAGGCAGAGGCGCAGATGTAAAGTACCTAAACAGGACCACAGAGATCACAGGCAGAACGAAAAGAGAAGACAAAAAACTCTAGATCCCAATTCAATAGCTAGAGTCAGATACCTGTGCTCTAATGCCTGCTGCACGGATATCCTAACTTTTGGGTCATAAGTAAACATCTTCGCTAACAAATCCAGGGCATCATCACTAGCCACTGGAAACAATGACCGCAAAGGGGGTGCTGGAACGTATTGGTATTCCACATAATCAGGAAGAAATACCATATCAGGCCATTGAGAAGGTGTTGGAGTCCCAAAAGCCGCAAAAATTTTACCTAGTTGATCAATATCACTTGATCCCTGTCAAATAGTGCAAGCCAAACCAACATATAATCAGAAACAGCTGCACCCAGTATAAACTTTATTTATAGACAGCCTATGGAGAGCAATAAAAGAATAACACATGATCAACCATTGCAAGACATAACCTGACCAGTAAGAACTTAATATACAAATAAAAAGTAAGGCAGATTCATGCTATTCAACAAAGCAAATTAAAAAAAAATTGAGTCATTACAGTAGTCAGTAAAAAATATTGGCCCGTGAAACCTGCAATAATTCTAAAACCAAACAAACAACAGAAGAAAGGCTAAAAGATCTATTACTGGAAGAACCATAATTCATTTCAACTGGATAAACATTCAGAAGAAATGAGAGAAATCTGTTCAAAAGTAAAATGACCCCAAAACTGAGAGGTGCCTCTTATAATGAACTCAGAAAGATATAACCCAATACGGGATTTTTTCTTGCCATAATATAATATCTAACAAAGTTCCGCCTGGTTTTTATCCATTACTAGAAACAAGCAATTTGTAAAACTTAAAGCCACATATTGGCTAATGGAAAACAGTAACCATAAAAACAGAGTTTCATTACCATTATGAAATATTGCTTTACCTGCAAAAATGGTCTGCGTAGGAGAAGTTCAGCAAATATACAAGCTGCAGCCCATACATCCACCCCAGACCCATATTGCTTGGTGCCAAACAACAGCTCAGGTGCTCTATACCATCGAGCAAAGACCTATTCAGATGTTTTAAGGGGTTATAAAGAGCTTGCACCTAAAAGCATGCAAATGATTTAAAGAAAATGTACTTCTAATGTACTTCTAATGTTACATAAAATAAACATCATCTTTGTTCTCAAACTAAGCTTTGAAGGAATCCGCCAAAGAATCAAATATTTCAAAATAATTTCCACACCAGATACGCAGTCTATTCATAATGTAAGAAAACAAAATGAGAAAAACGCCCAGTTTTAGAAGACTAGTTGTTGTACCATCTATAGGAAAGTCTTCCTATCTTAAAGCCATTCAAAAAACATTTCATTCTTGAAGCAATTCCTCTGGATTGGTTTTGTATATTCGGCATAAATATTATAACAACTAATACCAGTATCAACTAAAAACAGTTTCAACATATAATAAAAGAATTTTTTTTGTAACAGCACAAAGCTACACAGTACACTGCCATTAAAACCTTAGCATAACTCCCACTTTCTCGAGTGCTATTTTCACTAGCAGATGAAACTAAGTGAAATATTAAAATTTAGCTTCAGTTACATGAAATCAGTAAAAGAAGACCTAAATTCAAAATTTTCCATCCTCCCAAACCCACATGATCCACTGATACATTTGCTACCATAAGGGGATGATAAAACATTTAATAGTAGAAACAGGATACATTCACCACCATGGAGAGGACGTTTCTGGGACAGGTGAAGATCGACATTAAACCAAACTCACAGCGTAAAGGACAAACAAAGTTTGCAAACTATACCTAAAGATATCTAACTCAGAATACCATCAATATAAGGAGAAAGCATACCTGATGAGTGAACCTGCGATCTGGGCTCCCAAATACTCGTGCTAAACCAAAATCTGCAAGTTTAAGCTGTCCGTTAGGTCCTATCAACAAGTTGTTAGGCTTCATATCCCTGTAAAGCACAATTAGCAAACATCTGAGACAAATGATAACAAGCAAATAATGACCTACAAAGATCGCTTCTAGACACAAAAGGGCTACCTGTGTAAAACCCATTTCTTGTGGCAAAAAGCAAGTCCTTTTAATGTCATCTGAAGATATGACTTTATGTCAGCTGGTGATAGGAATATATTTCGGTCACGTATAACAGCTTCAAGGTCTGTCTCCATGAACTCAAACACAAGATGCAAGTTTCCTTTATGGGGGAATGCATCAATCAACTCAATTATATTTGGATCTTTCAGCTCTTTTAGCAGTTTAATTTCTCTAAGTGCTGTAAAATTCACCCCTTCCTTTTGCTTCCCAAGCCGAATTTTTTTAATAGCAACTGTCTGTCCGGTCTGCAAAAGAAATGTATTGAAACCAAAATCATAAACATACGAGATTACTTATCAAAGTCATAATGCTGCATTTAGTTTGCAAATTAAATAAAAAAACAAACAATGAAGGTGTATAAGAAAAAGAAAAGGAAACTTTATACAGCCAGCCACCACTTCGAAAAGAATACCAATTCATTAGTGGCATTTTGTAGCTAAGAAAGGTGAAAAATCAAAAAGACCAAGGAAGAGCATATGCAATTTACCGTTCTCCAATCCTGGGTCAGTATAACAGCAATTTCCATTTTTTTTATTTATAAAAAAACAGACAACATTAGGTTAACAAATTTCATTTCGAGGGCGACTAAATATTATATGTCTGCATTAAAACCCAATTGCGATGAAGTTTCTAGGTATGAAATGAAAAAATTAATTCAAACCTATAATTTTCCAGGACTTTGAGACCCAGGAAAACAAGACCCTCAACACAAAGCTGTTTAGCTTTACGTCTCCAGAGTCTCAATTTCATAATTTAACCCAAACAGCAAGAAGAAAAGAATAGCTTTACATGTGCACATAAATACAATTATACAATCCCATTTAATATTTCACTCCCCGCCCTGCTTCTTCAGCATCCAAACCCAGAGACCACCAATATAGAAGAAAAAGTGAAACTGTTTTCCCTGTCACAACTCAAATTTCTGAGCAGCGAAGCAAGTGCTAAACCAAATTCCACGCACACATACACAAACATAACAAATTCTCAAACCTTTTAAACTCGAAAAGTTAATTACAGCAAAAAAATTAATAAAAACATTTATCCATAATTTTTTTTTTAAAACCCCTCCGACGAAAGCGAAGTGTTGGGGCTTACCTGAGTATCAATGGCTTTGTAGACGACTCCATAGGTACCTTCACCGAGGACCTCGCGCTTCAGATATCTATCGGCCACTTTCTTCGATAGATCGACCTCTGCCATTGCGGTCTCTCGAGCTATCACTTCACTAAAGATTTTCTTTATTTACCGTTTTACAAGTGAGATTTTTGGGTGAATCTGCTATTCACAATTGGGAATTTTCTAGGCAAATCATTTTCCAGAGAAAAAACTCTAGGGTTTTAACATTGGTGCAGACGAGAAAGCCGTTGAAGGCCAGAGAGAGAGAGAGCGTGTTGAAGCAACGTCTATAGGACTGTGTGTATAGACTATAGTGCTAATTTAACGTTTTTTTTATATTCTTTTTGTTATTCTGTTGTTTCCTCGGAGGGTCTCTTTTTAATATTAACGTTTGTCCGGGGGTGTTTTAGACTTTTCAGTCTCTCTTATGTTACAGTTTGGACTTGGGCTGAGGAAGGGCTCAGCCCAAGATTAATAAACATAGTCCCGGCCAACCCATATTCATATTCATAGGCCTGCCCGTATTTATTTGCTTGGATTTTTCAGTCTGCGTCATATTCCGCAAGCAATGATGTGCTCAACTGAACAAACAAGAAGAGTCTTCCTCTGTGATTTTCTTTTTGGGTAAATTCAATATTGGAGGTTATTATATAATAATATAGTATTCGTTTGGGCAGATTGAATGCTAGAAATTGACCTTTTTTAATTGTTTTAATATTCAAAACATACAAAACAATAATGTATGTTTGTTGACTATTTGATTGAACTAAAACACCCAAAATGGGGCTGAAATTATAAAAAAACCCAACATCCAAAACACTTTATAAACACACCCAAAACCCATCATTACACACACTCAAAACCCATTTATAAACACACCCAAAAAATATACAATTGTTGATTTTGGGGTTAATTTTGGGTGTGTTTTTATGTTTAAATAGTGTGTGGGTTTTTTTATAAATACATGTCTAGGATTGGGTTTATTTATAATAATCTATTGATGGAATCCATCCACGAAATGAAATGAAGCTGTTGTTGAACAATCTAAATTACAAGATCCAAAAACCCACCCCTATAAATATTATCAACAAAATTGCTACAAGGTGTTGACTGAAAATGGGAGGTGCGAAGCTGGTTGCCACAACTCAAAGCCTGTTCTGCACAAGGATTGAGTGGGCTCTAAAGCTCAAGGGTGTGGAATATGAGTACATAGAAGAAGACTTGAGAAACAAGAGTCCCATCCTTCTCAAGTACAACCCTGTCCACAAGAAGGTGCCTGTGTTTGTGCACGACGACAGAGCCATTGCCGAGTCGCTTGTGATCCTTGAGTACATTGATGAGACATGGAAGGAGCACCCCTTGCTACCTCAAGACTCATATGACAGAGCCAAAGCTCGCTTTTGGGCTAAATTTGCTGATGAGAAGGTAGTACCCTTTTCCTCTAACCCCAATAAAAGCTTTCTTCCATACTATTTTGATCTTGTGCTTGCTTATAACCAGGTTGTGTTTGGAGCATGGAGAGCTTGCACGGCGGCGGAAGGCGAAGAGAAGGAGAAGGCAATAGAGTCTGCACTAGAATCACTAGCATATCTTGAGAAGCAGATTGAAGGGAAGAAGTTTTTTGGTGGAGAAGAAATAGGGTATCTAGATTTAGCATTGGGATGGATACCTCACTGGCTGAATACTATGGAAGAAGCTGGAGGCATGAAGCTACTTGAAGTAGAGAGGTTCCCATCTCTGCATGAATGGGGTCACAACTTCATCCAAATTCCACTCATCAAAGAATGCCTTCCACCCAGAGAAAAGCTTGTCAACTATTTGAACGCTAGCCTCACTTACTTGCGTTCATTATCCGCCAACAAACCCTGATCTCAATTAGTTGGCTTGGCTGCCAACAGAAGAGAAAATAAAGAAACAATTTTATTTACATCTGAATCTGATTACTGTTTTGGGTCTTACTACTGTTGCTATTATGTATTGTTTTTACTTCCCATTTGGGCTTGTGTCTTGCTTATGTATTTGTTTAAACTAGAATTAATGATGCATTATCTTTCTAATTGAAAATCCAACTTTTGTGCTACTTTCTTGGCATTGCATTTGGATGGGATACAATCCAACCAGACCAGCTGAAGGCACGTATTTACAGACTTGTCAAACAAATAAAGCAGTTCAAAGTAAGGCTGATGGACCCAAAAAAAAGTTAAACTATGGCCATAGTCGTGTGCGTGCACTTAGTTTTCTTTGACATGAGCCCCACATCCATCATCAAATTTCTAGAAGAGGGTCCAATTGCCCACCCATGGATGTTTGAAAGTTCAACAGACCACCCTTGGATATTTTCATTCATGGCTTCCCTATGTAAGAGATGAGATATATCATATGGGAACCTGGGGCCACTCAATATGGTCATCTTGGTAATTAAATTTACTAAATAAAATAAATTATTTATGGACTTAAGAGTCATAAACATGAGAGTTGGACTTAATTACAACTTTCTATTCAAGAAATGAACTGACAGGCTTTTCCAAATCCCACGTGTATAAAGTTCAAACCAAGGCTTCAAAAGATTGAAAGCTTGGTTCAATTTCAGAACTTGCAGGCTTCAAAATGGGAGATGTTAAGGTGATTGGAGCCTCTCTAAGTCTTTTTTGCTGCAGAATTGAATGGGCTCTGAAGCACAAGGAGATAGCATATGAGTACATTGAAGAAGATTTGAGAAACAAGAGTCCCCTGCTCCTTCAGTATAATCCTGTCCACAAGAAAATCCCAGTGCTTGTGCACGGTGAAAAACCGATTGCGGAGTCTCTCATCATCCTTGAGTACATAGATGAAACATGGAGAGAGAACCCTATGTTGCCCGCAGATCCTTTTGAAAAAGCAATGGCGCGATTTTGGGCAAAGTATGTTGATGAGAAGGTAAACAATTTGTGATAGATTTTAATAGCTCTCAGTTTGAGAGAGTTTGCTATTATTACAAGACTCAGATTCATGCGCGCAAACACAAACATATATGAATGCATGTATATGTATTTATACATTTATATTATACATACATGTATTGAAAAGAGAAGCTAATGAGTTTTTCAATGATTATGAAATGCAGTGTGTGATCAGTGCATGGACTGCTAGCCGTACAAAGGGGCACGAACAAGAGAAAGCATTGGAGTCAGCACAAGAATCACTCCAACTTCTGAATAAGCTCATTGAAGGCAAGAAATTTTTTGGAGGAGAAACCATGGGCTTCCTAGACTTTGTAGTGGGCTCTTTACCTAACTGGCTCAAATTCTTAGAAGAATTTCAAGGCATAAAGCTATTTGATACAAAGGAGTTGCCATTTCTTCACGAATGGGCACAGAGATTCACTGAAATTCCAATCATCAAAGAAAGTATACCAAAGATAGAAGATCTCCTCAATTACAGCAGGGCTCAGCACAAAGCGAAATAATGTCAAAGAGGAAAGACATAAAATAAAGTGGTTACAGATAAATTTTCGGATTAAAATAATGTAAAAGAGGCATGACACGGCCTTGATAGCATATGTTACCTTTCCAATTGATTGTAGTCCTGATATATACGTATAATATGATCCATAAAAGGATATTTGACATCTATGTTTGAGTTAAATTAAACAAGAAAATCAAGATATTACACGTTGACAGCGGCACCAGAAAGCAGTTCCTCCACTTTTGCCTCGACCAACTGCTAATTCTTCATCAATGTAAAACCATATAAAGAAGGGATCCTTCGTGCTAGGCTCTCTCTCATCCTTTTGGCCTAGACTGATCTCTAAAGCTTTCAAAGGTCCAACTTTTATCCGGATACACTCGAAGATGAAGGCCAGTATTCTCTTCTTCCAAGAAAATCTTCCTTCAAATGTTAAGCATCCAATTGGCCCAAAATACGCTCCATTCTCAATTCTCTTTCCCTGATAATCCAGGCAGACATTTGTTAATCTCAAAAGTTGACAAGCAACAAGGAAAATGCTACTCATGCCTATATTTTCCTTGGCTTATTATTGATGATGAAAGCTTCTAGGAGCTCTTATTTAGTAATAAACAACAATATCCACACAAGTGATGTTTGGCGTATGGAAAATCACCATAGGAAACAGGAAGGCAATAACAAAAGCATCAAGCATCACATGCAGGCTCTAAGAACACACCCCAATTGAAAATCGCAGAGAAACTTGACTATGCTGCTTGTAAAAGCATCAAGCATCACATACTCTCAAAAGAATTTGTAAAGGGCCATTGAGGGTTGAAAAAAAGAGCATCAATATTACTCAGCCTGAGTTTTTTGTCCCCTTTTCCACATTTTCTACTTTTTATCAGAGATTTTGCTCTCTATAAAATGTAGGCATGAGTAGTTGAAATAGAGATGGAAAGGCTTACAGCAGCATCGAACCTCTGAACAGCTGTAATAGGGAAGTAGCGACCACCCTTCAATTCCTTCTGCAAATACCACAAAAAAACAATGTTCATTTCTAAGATAAATGGCAAAAGATGAACATGGTTATGCCATATGTGAAAGAATTACACTAACCTCAGCAGTAAAAATGAGCATCCAGGTTCTGCCAGGGGATTTTGATCCACCAAGCGTATCGAGAAACCCGGAGGGGTCAAGTTTTGCCTTCTCAATGACAGATAGAGCAGACAGAACCTCCTCTGCAGCCACCCGTCTTGTTTTTGCAGCATTCTTGAGCACTTTCACACTCTCCTCAACTTCCTTAACCCAACAATAACAGCATAACTTAATCAAAAAATGGTCTCAAACTAGAACAACACACTTAAATTCAAGTCAATTATTCTCGAGAAATTTAAACAAGATTGTGCTACTGATGTTGTGTCCTGCTTGTAATTGGAAATCTCAGCTTCTTTAGCATGAGTCAGGGTTACTAATTATGCATCTGAAGATAAAATAAAGGAAAAGCATACTCTGTTGGGCTGTGGTTCCTGGACAAGTAGAGGTGTGGTGGTGGCACTTTGTTCCTTGCCATCAAGGGTTGCTCTGGTTCTTGCTCTGGGAAATTTGAGAATCAGATTGCGGCTTGTGGCCTTGGCATGAGGTGGGATTTGGAGAGGAAAACTTGAGGGTCTCAGTCTGAGGGATGCTTGAGAAGAATTCAGAGCCATTAAGTAGGACACTGCTGTCTGTGAGCCCATTGCTGTCACTCTCTATAAGGCTGGCATGCAACTCTCTCCTCCTTTTGAGTCTTGAATCTGTTGATCCATTCATTCACTTCTGTTTCCAAGGGGATTAGATTTTTATATTTAACCAAAAAATAATGAAAG